ATGCCCTTGACTGAAATCGAACCTGGGACCTTTCAGTCTGCAGGCCGATGCTCTATCTACTGAGCCAAACCAGTTTCGGCTCCAGACTTCTTGTTATGTGAGCATTTCTCTTCACTTCAAAGCCATATCCGATGTTTTGCAGCCAAAAACTGTCCTAATACACAGGCCCAGGCCCACCATAGAAAACGTTAAAAAAAAAAAAAAAATCACCCACATCCCATACTGTATATACCCTGTTTCCCCGAAAATAAGACAGTGTCTTATATTAATTTTTTCTCCCAAAGTTGCGCTAGGTCTTATTTTCAGGGGATGTCTTATCTTTCCATGCGCTAGGTCTTATTTTCGGAGGATGTCTTATTTTCGGGGAAACACGGTATGTGGAATGTGTTGTTTGTTTTTTTCCTATACATTTTTCAATGTATTTTAATACTTTTATTTCAGACATTATTTGGCTATGGGGATCGAATTTAGGAGCGGCCAACCTCTAGGAAGGCTTGGGCCCGAGTTTGAAGTAAGAAAATTCAACTCACACCATTGTTTTAAAACAGAACACACTTTTTATAATGACCGCCCTTTAAGTTTGAACACAGCAAGCATTTATTAATTCCAGCTTTGCAGTTTCAGGATTTGGGAGCCAAGACTTTTTTTATTTTTTTCCTTCTTCCTTCGGGTCTCAAATATTTTCCAAGCTCTTAAAAAGCCCTTAGCTCCCTGGAAGTCTATAATTAGGACCAAAAAAATGTTAAAAAAAAAAAAAAAAAACCCTGAAAAAGACTGGCGCCTGATTCCTGAGGGCTAATGAATCCCGCCCGACTTCAGAGGAGAAGGGGGGCTGTGTGCTTAAGGCGAGTCAGGGCCTGTGCTCAGGGGGGGTTGAGGTTGGGGGGGGACAGACAGCAGGTGGGAAGGCAGAAGTGACAGGCCTGTGCTGTGTGTGGGGAGGTGGCTGGGTGGGAGGGGCCAACAAGCAAAGACAAGGATGACAAGGTGAGCTGGGGGCTGGGAGGCAGGCTCCTGCACAAACCAGTAGAAAAGTGCCTGAAGTTGGGGAAGGGAGGGGAAGGGAACAGGGGGGGCAGACATTCTCTGTCCCCACACGGGTTCTTTCTACCCTTCACGGTCCAGGATCCAAAGGAGATCATTGTCGCCGAAACCGGTTTGGCTCAGTGGATAGAGCGTTGGCCTGTGGACTGAAAGGTCCCAGGTTCGTTTCCGGTCAAGGGCATGTGCCTTGGTTGCGGGCACATCCCCGGAGCGGGGTGTACAGGAGGCGGCTGGTCGGTGTTTCTCTCTCATCAATGTTTCTGGCTCTCTATCCCTCTCCCTTTCTCTCTGTAAAAAAAAAAAATCAATAAAAATATATTTAAAAAAATAAAATCAAAACAAACAAAGAAGATCATTGTTGGAGGTTCCGATACGCAAGGCCCTTGGTGTTCTTTCCTGGGCTCAGCAGATAGAGGCCCCCGTCCGCCCTGGCTTCCTGTGACCTTGGTCCAGTGGCCGCCGTGGCAGGTGGCTGCTATGTCATCAAAGGGCGTGGAATGTGGGGGTCCCTCCCTGCTCGGACTTCCTGGACTCCTGGCTCCGACCACCACAGCTTCCCCCTCTGGCCAGCCCGGTGGCAGCGGGGGCGTATGTGTGTCCGTGGGCCCGGCAACCTCTCTGCACTGCCAGCTGGAGGAGGCATGGCCTTCGCAGGGCAGGGCAGGCAGGGGCAGGGCCGGCAGGGAGGGCCGCACAGCGCTGGCTCCCCTGCCCGAGCAAGCCCTGCTCATCTCGTGCAGCAGCCAAGGTCCAGCCTAGAGCACAGGCCTGGAGGATGGAGGACTCAGCCCACGGCCTCCACTGCAGACTGGTAGGGGAGAGAGGGCCCGGGGGGAGGGCGTTGGCCCGGGGAGGTGCAGAGAACACATGTTGAGCCCCTCACACATCATCCTGTAACCCTCCAGCCAGCTGGTGCCTGGGGACAGCCCCACTTTCCAGGCCCAGAAGCCGGGTCAGAGAGGTCAAGGACTTGGCTACAGTCACAGTCAGGCAGCCCCACGCCTTTCTTTCTTTCGTTTTAAAAATACATTTTCATTGATTTCAGAAAGGAAGAGAGAGGGAGAGAGAGAGAAACATCAATGACGAGAGGGCATGGTTGATAGGCCGCCTCCTGCACGCCCCCTACTGGGGATCGAGCCCACAGCCCCACGCACATGCCCTAGGCCAGAATCAAAGCTGGGACCCTTCAGTCTGCAGGCCGACACTATCCACTGAGCCAAACCGGCCAGGGCGGCACTTGCCTTTCTTCTCCCGTTCCTACCACCAGCTTCATCTCAGGGCCCAGGAACGCTCCCCTGTGCACGTCAGCCCAGATCGCAGGCAAGAAGAGGCGAGGAGATGAAATGAGATAAAGTATGAAAGCGAGGCGCCGGGCACAGGGCCTGGCCGATAAGAAGGCGCCACCACACAATCCACCCCGTCCCTGTCCCTCCCCCCGGAAAACCACGGGCCCTGGAGCCTCCCTGCCCCTGCCCAGGCAGGAGGAGACCGGTGGGGGTGAAGAGGGGAAGGAGGGACCCCCCCAGAGGTGTGACCCCAGGAGGCAAACAGCCTGGGAGAAGAAGCTAAGACCTTCTGAGACTACGAAGAACACACACCATCCATTTAGACCAGAACTCCGCCTTGTGCTAACCTTGTCCCGAACAGGGTGTCACCTCCCCATAGCACAGATGGGGAGACTGAGGCAAGCAGGGAGAAGGGACTTGCCAGGATGCCTTGGGGAGGGCCTGGCAGGGCTACGACCAACACCCAAGTCTCCAAACTCCCAAAGGGGCCTTTCCAGGGGCCTGTTCTCTGTGCCACACCGTGTGTCTCTCTCCACCAGCCCGCGGCCAGCCAGATGCAGAAGAGGAGTAAGCAGCCCCTTGTCCGACAGCAGACACTCCCGGTGCGGGGGGGGGGGTCTTCCGGGGGGAGAAAGGAGAGGCGGCTCTGGGCCCCGGTGGTGGCAGCGGGGCAAGGACTGGCCTGAAGCGCCTCTGTCCTCGGTCTGGGCCTCCTCCTGGAACCCTGACCAGGCAGAGAGGGTGCCTGTGGCCCCTGGAGGAGCAGCACAGAGGAAAGGCAGTGGGGCTGCTCTCCCTTTACCCACCCCTCCCCTCCTCACCCCTCCTTAGGTTGAGGTTTGGAAAAGGCCCTGGAGGGAAAGCACAGCTGCTGTGGTTGAGCTGAGGCCGCAGGCTTGGTCTGGGGGGAGCAGCGGGAAGGGGCTCCCAGCGGGGGTGGCTCAGCCTCCTCTCTGGCCTGCCTTGCAATCCCATACCCCCCTCCCCCCCCGCCCCACCATCTTCCTGGTTCTCTGTGCAGGGTGGGCTTCAGTCCCTGGAGGAAGGCGGCCCGTGGGGTGTGGGACCGTGGAGGCCGGACTGGGGCGGTGGTGGGGAGGGGCAGGGCGGATTTGCTGGTCTGACCTCCAGATGTGAGTCCCTCCTGGTCCACATCTTCTGTCCTCTCCGGCGCTGCCAGTTTCAGGGGGAGGACGGTGATGTGGAGAAGGAAATCCCGCTGACAACTCCCCTGGGAGCTTCCCGTCTTGCCCAGTGCTCCCCACACCCCTGTCCCCACCTGGTTCCCGAGTGTGAGGTGAGCACCCCTCCAACCCGCCCCCAACTCTGCTGCTCCAGCGATCCTCCCTGAAGCCCAAGTCTGGCCTCCGTACGCGCCTTCCCTGTGACCTTCTGTGGCTCCCCAACCCCTCAGAGAAAAGCACGCCCAAGCCCCTCGCAGCCTCACGCTCTGTGTTTCCGCAAGACACCCCAAACTCCAGCCGTGGCCCGATGCCCCCCCCGAGTCTGTGCTCTCTCACTTTGCATCCTCTGCCCAGGCTGGAATGCCAGCCCCCCTCCTTCACGGCCACCCTCACACTCTGGACAACCTCCGTCCCGTCACCCATGGCTTGTCTCCGAGCTGACACCGTGCTGTTCCTTCATCGGTTCACGGCCAGCTTCCGCCCTAACCGGGGGCTGCCTCGAATCCCCTCAGACCGGCTCAGGGCCACACACATAACGGATGTTCAGTCAAATGTCTGCTAACCGGACGGGAAAGGTAAGGCTGTGCCTGGCCTTGGAGGGAGAGATGTGAGGAGGGTGGTCGGGGTGCACGGAGCAGGGGCCCTAGCCCCTCATGGCTTGAATCGACAGCCCCTTCTCCTCTCCCCCTCACCTCCCAGACCTGACCCTCTCAGACAGGCCAGAGGCTGTCCAGCAGGGGCTCCTGTAGGATCCCCTGCAGGCGCCTCAGGAGGGCCGAGGCCTGAGCCCTGAACCCTGGCAGCCGCCTCAGACTTGGCATCCGGCCCAGCCTTTCTTTAGCGTGAGTGACAAGCACGCGCAGCTGCAGCCGCAATCCTTGCTTCCGGGGGAGGCCCGGGTGGGGCAGGGCCTTGTGGTGAATGGGTCCTGGGCCCTCTGCATAGGCCTACAGGAGGGGTCACCGCCTGGCCGTGCCAGGGTGCAGCCCTAGGAACCCCAGGTCTGAGTCCCCAAAGGACACTGCACCCCCTCCGCGGTCTCCCCTGGGTACCCCCCTAGCTCAGCCTGCTGGCCCCAGGCCCCTTCCCGCCAACTCCTGGGCCTAGCTCATCCTCAAACTATTTTCCATTGGCTTCCCCCAATCCCTGCCACAGCACAATTTTCTCGTGGGGGGTGGGGAGGGGTGAGGGAGAATGAGAGGTGGGGCCTGGACCCTGGGGGCGTGGCCACCAAGGCATGAAAGGGGGGGGGTCACCATTCTGATTGGTCAGCTCCGCTCCAGAACTGGCTACCAAAGTCCACTGACTCCGCCTCCAGTGGCCCCTGTCCCTGTCCCGACTTACAATTGGCTGAGCGTCCAGGGGGCGGGACTCGCCGGGGTCTGGTCCAGTTAAAAGGGTGGGAGCGGCTCAGGGCCCATCTCTCGGGTGGAGTCTTCAGACAGCTGGTGCTGCAGTCCTCCAGACCACTTCTCTGTCCTCAGCCATGGCCTGTGTGAGTGCGGGGACCCCGCCCCGAGGCTCGGGGTGGCGTGGGAGCTGACAGCTGGCAGAGTGGGGGCAGTCAGGGGTGCAGGCCCCACGGTGTGGCCACGGGCAAGTATCTCCTCTTTGCTGGGCCCTTAGGGGCCCCATCTGTAAGATGGGGGTGGGCACCGGGGTCTCAGACCCAAGACCTTCTCCGGCTTAAGAATTTTCTGGATCGCTCCAGGGCCTGGCAGCACAGTTATTTCTGCCAAGGTCCGGCATTCTGCAGCGCTCTGAGAAGTAGGAGTAGAAAGGGTGTGGCCAGCTTGGGGCGGGGGAGGCCCTTTGATGGCACCCAGGCCACTGTCCCTTTCCCCTCCTCCACCCAAAAGCCACTCCGCGGCAGCTGCTCCCAGGCGCCCGGCCGGCGGCCCGCGCTGTCACCCTCTGCTCTAGAGAGCCTGAAAAGGCGCCAGGACCCAGATGGCCGCCCGGGAAAGGGGCCTCTCGGGTTAGTGGGTGGAAGGGGCTCTGTCCAGGCTGGTCCAGAGGGGGCTGGGGGGAGAAGGAGGCGGGGAATTTCCCCAGGCCCTGAGGGAAACCGTTCAAGTTTCTGGCAGAAGGAACCACTCGCTAGCAGTTAATCTGTGGGTTCAATCTTGTTAACCCCCGCCAGCCAGGCTGCCACCTCTGCCAGCCAGACTGCTAACTCAGACCCAGGCCGAGGAGCCTGGCCCTGCTCCGGGGCCTCCCCTCCACCTCCCTCCTCTGCAGAGGGGCGCGTGGGGGATCCCCCAGCCCCAGGCCCTTCTTCTCCAGCAGAGGATCAGGCACCCCCACCCACCCTCCTCTGCACCAGCTCCTTCCTTCCCTCCCAAAGAGTCTGATTCTCTCTGTCGAAGCCACGAGGCACTGGAGCACCCCGAATCCAAAATCTCCACGCTGACCCGCAGAAATTTCTAGACCTTGGATGCTAGAACCTTAGTCATGTTACAGACGGGAAACTGACCCGGCTGGGAGCAGGGAGTCGCCCTGGGCCACACAGAGAAAGGAAAGGAAAGCTAGAACCTGATTTCCCAGCTGGCCAGGGACACCGCATCCTCTAACTGTCTGGGTGGGGTCTTGCCTGCAGGGTTTGGTCGCCAGCAACCTGAATCTCAAACCCGGCGAGTGCCTCCGAGTGCGGGGCCAGATAGCCCCCGACGCCAAGAGGTGAGGGGGCGAAAGGGGGGGAGTGGCGGGGTCTGGGCGCCCGAGGGTCCAGCCCGAGGTCAGGTAGGGGCGTGGCCGGCCCGGCCTGCGGGCGGCGGGAGGCCGGGGCTGGGTGTTCTGGGTGAGTCACTTCCTCCGCGGGATCTGGATGCCTCCTCCGCGGTCGCCCCCTCCCCTCCCCGCTGGAGCCTCTTAAACTGAACCAGCTGCGGCTCCAGCGCCTGCCGCCCCCTCCAGGCTCTGGGCGGGACCTGAGGCTGCCGGGGCGGGGCGGGGAGAGGAGAGGGGTGTCCCGCCCTGTGCTCCCCCTCTGAAGTCCCTCCTGCGTTCTTCACCCGCAGCCCAGCGCTCAACCTTTCATTCCTTCCGTCCTTCCTCCACTCACCATTCGGCCAGCTGGCCTGTTTTCTCAGCAGCCATGTGACCGGCCTTGGACTAATCCACCCACTGCACTGAGCCTCAGTGTGTTCACCAGTAACCAGAACAAGGGGCCTATGGCTGTGTGGAGGATGGGAGATGCGGGATCTCGCAGGGAGGAGGAGAGGGTCAGCTGACGTGACCAGAGCCGCATGCATTATTCATTTCACTCTTACCAAACCTCAGGGGGCAGGATTGCTATTCCCTCCACTTAGCAGATGTGTTGGGATTTGTCCATTCGCCCACAGCTACTGAGTGCTATTGTGGGTCATGCATCGTGCTGGGCACCAAGGATACAAAGATACACGGGACAGACAGGACACTTCCCTCCAGGAGGTCTCCGACCTTGGCAAAAGGGCAGGGCCTCACACTACAGTCTGCAAGCATCTTGCCTGTCAGCACAGCGAGGCCCATGGAGATCCTTCTTGTGTGGCCCCATTGTGCAGATGAGGAAACTGAGACCCAGAGAGTAGCAGGGACTTGTTCAAGATCACACATGAAGGAGGTGGCCGGGGCCGAGAGATAGAATCGGATTTTTCACCTCTGGGCTCAATGCCTGCTCCCAGCTCTCTATGCATTGAATGCCAGAGAGTGGCTGGCCTGAGGGGGCCGCCGGTGGCCTACAGCTGGCCTTGGTGACCTCAGTCCCTGCCACCTGTCTCCCCCCACCTCCCCAGCTTCTCGCTGAACCTGGGCAAAGATGACAACAACATGTGCCTGCACTTCAACCCTCGCTTCGACATGCACGGAGACATCAACACCATTGTGTGCAACAGCAAGGACGCCGGGGCCTGGGGGGCCGAGCAGCGGGAGACTGCCTTCCCCTTCCAGCCTGGCAGTGTTGCGGAGGTGGGCCGGGGACTGGGGCTGGGTGGACTGGGGCCGAGCTGGGTTTAGTGGCTAGAGAACTAGGCCCCACCTTGCCCTTCCCGCCCGCCCCCTTCTCTCCCTCCCTCTCCCGCTGTGTCACCCCCCTCGCCCAAGCTCAGCGGACTCTCCCGCGAGGTAGGGCTGTCAGGACTACGGGGGGAAGGGCTCTGGGAGGGCCCGTGGCCTGCGGGGCCATGGCTGTAGCTGCATCGAGACTCGCCCTGGGGACACTGCTCACTGCCCTTTTCCCCTCCCAAGGTGTGCATCTCCTTCGACCAGGCCGACCTGACCATCCAGCTGCCGGATGGATACTCATTCAAGTTCCCCAACCGCCTCAACCTGGAGTCCATCAATTACCTGACAGCTGAAGGCGACTTCAAGATCAAGTGTGTGGCCTTTGATTGAAGCCAGCCAAACCGTAGCACCCAATAAAGGCAGCTGCCTCTTCCCCCTGAACCGGCCTCCTGTGTGTGTGTGTGTGTGTGTGTGTGTGTGTGTGTGTGTAAGAGGGCATGTTCCACTAACAACCCCCTCCACCACCACCCCCAGGCTCTGCTCCTTTCTTCTACCCACTGCCTTGATGCACACCTGCTAAGTGCCAGGGACAGCTGAGTCCCCTGGGCCGAGAAGAGAGCTCAGGACCTAGTAGGAGACTTGGTGACACACAGCTCCCAACCCTAGTGGGCCCCAGCACACAGCAGGTGCTCAAAAGATGAATAGATGAAACCCGGGGGAAGCAGCAAGCCAGACTGATCCATGCCATGGTATCGGGCAGCACAGAGAAGGGTGACTGGGCCCCTCATTTGTTCTCGTGAGCTAGAGCGAGCTGGTTCAGACGGTGGGGAGGGCTACAGCTGTGTGGCCTCGTGTGCATTAACTGACTTCGGTTAGACATGTATGTGTGTGTGTGGGGGGGGGGCGGCTAGTAGCACATACCCAATTGTGAGAAGAGAAATGCGAGAAAGGTGAAGATTAGCGCAAGGCCCCTGGTAAACAGGAGTGGTTTCTCGCCCCCACTGCACTCTTAACCTCTGAGTGGCAATGGGATGCCCTGGTCTGTGCCACACCGGGCTGAGCTTGGCAAATCTCACTCCCCAGAGCAGCCAGCAGCAGCTGTGGGGCCCTGGGCAGGTCTTGTCTTTCTCCAGCCTTCATTTCCTCACCTGTAAAATGGGGGTTATTTCCCACACCTGGACCCTTTGGGGTGGAAGATTCCCGCCCCCGTGGGTCCGCTAGGAAGCACATTTTTAGGAGAGGCCTGGGAGGAAGGAGCCACACCCAATCTCCTGAGTCACTCAAGTGGCCACCCAGAAACCGCATTGGAAATCTGGCTGTGGGAGGGCGCCCTCTGCTGGACATTGGAGAAAGTGTCCCCTCAACTGCCTTTCTCTGGCCCTGAGAGTTCACTCGCATTGATTCTCCCTAAACTGGCTGACCACCACCAATACACCAGAGCTGGGACTACCGGGAGCCAGAGGAAAGCCCCGGGACAGATAAGCAGAGAGACCGACACATATCGGAGGAAGGAAACGGCTGGGGTCTGACCTGTGTTCAAACTCCAGCTCCATCACCGTTTGCCTTCAGATCAGTTACTGAACTCTGAACCTGTTTCCTTATCTGTCAAATTGCATTTATACTAGTATCTGCCCTATGGGGTTGTTGCAAGGATTTTGAGGTAATGTACAGAATGTATGGTGTGTGGCACATAGTAAGGGCTCTCTGTAGGTGTTGGTTTCCTTCACCTCTTTTTTAAAAATATATTTTATTGATTTTTTTACAGAGAGGAAGGGAGAAGGATAGAGACCTAGAAACATAGATTAGAAACATCGACTAGCTGCCTCCTGCATACCCCCCACTGGGGATGTGCCTGCAACCAAGGCACATGCCCTTCACCGGAATCGAACCTGGGACCTTTCAGTCCGCAGGCCGACACTCTAACCACTGAGCCAAACCCATTAGGTCTTTCACCTCTTTTTTTTTTTTTTTTTTTTAAATACATTTGTATGGGTTTCAGAGAGGAAGACAGAGGGAGAGAGAGAGATAGAAACATCAATGATGAGAGTGAATTGGCTGCCTCCTGCACACCCCTTGCTGGGGATCAAGCCCGAAACCCGGGCATGTGCCCCTGACCAGATTCACCTCTTTTAAGACTCATTGTGTATCAAGAGCCTATGAAACTCGGCCCAGAAAAAATTAAGTAGAGCTCAGCCCTTAGATCACCTGGCGCCACCCTCAGCGCTTGCTCTTCTTGCCTTGGGCACGTGACTATATCTCGCTGGGCCTCAATAGAGTGAGGTTCATGCCTCAGAAGAGATAATCGTGTAAAGAGTTAAATAAATAGCAAAATTCCTTTTGCTCCTTATCGTCATCAGCACTTCTATTGGTAGAATGTGCCATCTCTTGCTATGCCTGGCACACAACGGGTGCTCAAGAAACATCAGAATTTCAAAAACAATCCCCAGAAGGTGGTAGGTGTTTAGACCGTGAGCTGCAGTAAAAAGCTCTCAAGTTTTTGGAATCTGGGTGGCATTGCCAGTCCCTCGCTTCCTGAGCTCGGGCAGGAGGGCCTGAAGCTCCCTAGGAAGAGTTTGGAGCAAAAGCGCGGACTTCACTCTGCATTGGGAGCTCTGGTGGATGAGGCCTTACTGAGCCCCCCGTGGGCCGGCAGCTCAGGCTGGGTGGGCTGCAAAGGCCAACTGCACAGTTTCCCACACGAGGTCCCACACAGAGTAGCAGTGTAACCCCGGACAAGTCACTTCCCTCTCTGAGATAATACTGTAGTGTCATTCCCTTCTCTCTTTAAAAAAAAAAATTTTTTTTTATTGATTTCAGAGAGGAAGGGAGAGGGAGAGAGAGAGAAACATCAATGATGAGAGAGAATCACTGATCAGTTGCCTCCTGCACAACCCAGACTGGGGATTGAGCTACAACCGGGGCATGTGTCCTGACTGATGGGAATTGAACCATGACCTCCTGGTCATAGGTTGAAGCAAACCACTGAGCCAGGCTGGCCCAGCTCCTTCCCTTCTCTATGTGCCTGGCATTCAACCGGTACACAGCTTACTTGCTCTCTGGGATCCATTCACCTATTAAAGGAGAAGGATGGGTCCTAAGAGTCTTTTAATGACTCTGATATCCCCCCTTTCAGCTTTTCTGGCGTCATCACCTCTGGGAAACACTCCACACTCTGAACTCCTGCAGTCTGTAGGACTACCCAGCACAGATGCGTTGAGAATGGAATGCTGCCCTAAGAATTAAAGGGGCCTTTCAAAGTCAAAGGCAAACAAGCATTTACCTGAGACCAGTAGGATAGTTATTAAGGAACCATTAATCCAGGCAAAAGCCCAAACAATATTCTGATTAGGAGACAAAGGCAAGTGGTATTTATGAGACAGGGAAGGAGGACAATCATATCATAGAAGGAAGGCATTTCTATTGGTGCAGATAACAACTTAGTGATATGAATGCTAAACAATGTTTAAAAATTTTCATCTAGTAGTCATCATTCCATTAGTCACCATAACTGCTTTCTTATGATCTCTGCCAACAGTTCTTAGGGAAACGAGGTGGCTGAGGTCCTGTCCAGAGGTTCCTTTGCCCCGTTTTTTACTTTCCACAAAATTCGAGGCATAAGGCAGTTCCTCTGGGACGGCAGCTCTGGCTCCATTTTAACGTGGCTCCATTCATATTATTGTTTACAGGGAGACTGAGGCATGTAATCCAGTTACTAAAATTCCCCTTCAGGTGTTGTTTTAGTGAAATTGCTCTAACCACCATGCCTTCATTTTCAGTAGAGGGTTAGTTATGACACCCCTACTCTATACTTGGGGAAACTGAGGCATTGAGAGGGGAGACAGCTTGTATAGTAAACGTGTGGCATGATTATGTTATACACATGTTACATAACTCATTTAGTCCTCACAATCATGTTCTCAAAGTGTGGTCCGTGGACCAGCAACATCAGCTGGTGAAGTGTTAGAAATGCAAATTCTGGGGGTCACTCCTGACCCGCTGAATCAGAAACTCTGGAGTGGGGCAAGGGATCTGGGTTTCGGTCCCCTCCCCTCCCACCCCCCGGGATTCTGGTGCACACCAAATTGGAAAACCACCGCCTGACAATAACACTACAAAGTTCGCTATAATTATCCCCATTTTACAAAAGGCAATTCAGGCACAGCAAAGGCAACTGGCCCAGCACACACAGCTGTAATCGGGATACCAGATTTCTAATCCAGCTAGTTTACGTCCAGAAACGTGATCTTGGAGAGCAAGTGAACATCAGAATCAAAAGCAGGATCAGGCCCGGCTGGTGTGGCTCAATGGATGAGCATTTACCCAGGAACCAGGTTTGATTCTTGGTCAGGGCACATGTCTGGGTTGCGGGCTCTATCCCCACTAGGGGGCGTGCAGGAGGCAGCCGATCAATGGGTCTCATCATTGGTGTTTCTATCTCTCCCTCTCCCCTCCTCTCTGAAATCAATTAAAAAATATAAAAATAAATAAAAACACTAAACCAAAAAGAAAAGTAGGGTCAGTAATCTTTGGTCATTCACTAATAACTCCATAATGAGCACATCCTCTGTGTCTAAACGTGCTTGTCTAGAAGGAAGGGGGCTGGGAGTCTCCCGGCAGATTTCTGCTGGTTACACCCAGAAGGGAGGAGCAAGGCTGGGGCGGTCCCTTTAAAAGACCAGCTCTGGGGAACGGAACCGCGGAGCGTCGTCGCGAGGCGCGCCCGGAAGGCTGAGGATGCTACGCCGGAAGTGCCTCCGGGAGCGGGAGCCGCACGGTCCGGGCCTCACAGTGATGGGTCGCAACAAGAAGAAGAAGAAGCGAGACGGCGACAACCGGCGGCCGCGGCTCGTTCTCAGCTTCGACGAGGAGAAGCGGCGGTGAGTGCTAAGCTGGCCCGCAGCCCCTCCGGGTGCCGGGCAAGGCCTGCGCCACCCCCGCGCCGCGCACGCTCACGCCCAGGCCCTTCCGGCCCCGCCCCGCGGCGCGCTCCGCGGCCCCCGGGGACGTTCTACGGCCGAATGGAAGCGCCGCTCTCGGCCCCCGGCCAGAGGGATGGAACCGCTCGCCCCGCCCTCCCTTCGCTCTTCTCCGCACCCCAAACCACCGGCTTCTGTGTGCGGGGCCGAGAGCCGGGAGTTCGGGTTTCAGAGCTACGGCTTCGACCTCCCTAGCCTGGCCGGCCGCCCCGTGTGCAGCGCTCTCAGATGTTGAAGATAAACGATAAATGAATGAAACGAGTGGCTTAAGTTCATTTATTCGCTCATCAGACATTTACTTCTACGGACAGTCCCGATTTCCAACAATTTTTCCCGCGTCCCACGGCGTTTTTTTTATAAAAAAAAAGTCTCGATTTTTAACGAATCGGGACTTTTTAAAAACGCCACGGGACGCGGGAAAAATTGTTGGAAATCGGGACTGTCCCGCCAAAAGCGGGACGATCTGGTCCCCTTATCCTACATGTGTGTGCCACCTTAGCGTGGAGTAGTGGGTCATCGCAAAACCTAGTGTTGGGGCCCGAGTAGATGGGAATGGTGGAGTCAGTGCTACAGAGCCGAGGAGGGCCTGAGATCAGATAGATGGAGGGAGAGGAAGGCTGGGGCACCCACAGGCCCTATACAGAAGGATGGGCCCAAGAAACAACTGTCCTGGAAATGCGGTGTTGGTCCAGCAGAAAGTGTAGAGGTCTGAGTAAGGGAAGTCCTGCTAGAAGTGGTTTGATTCCCTGGGAAATGGGATTTGGCAGTGTAGATGGGGCCCCACCTGCTTAGGTTCAAAGGCCCACAACCTGTCTCTTGAATCTGAAAGCCCAGGAGGGTAGTGGGTAGAAAGAGGCACCATCTCCCTCTTTTAATTTTTAAAAAATATATTTTATTGGGTTTTATACAAAGAGGAAGGGAGAGGGACAAAGTTAGAAACATCATCGACCTGCTGCCCCTTCCACACTCCCCACCTGGTATGTGCCCGCAACCAAGACACATGCCCTTGACCAGAATCGAACCCGGGACTTTTCAGTCCGCAGGCCGACACCTTCCACTGAGCCAAACCGGTTAGGGCTCTTTTTCATACCTTACGCTCTGTGACCTTGGGCAAGTAACCCAGTCTCTCTGTGCCTCAGTGACCCCATCTGTAAGACGGATTGGTACCCACTACACAGGTAGTTGTGAGGATTACGTGAGTTAACAGGTACATTTTTGGAGTGGTGCAAGGTAGCTGTTTTTGGAGTGAGCCTTTCTTTCCTTGAATCTCCTGACTCTCTCCGGCCTCTTTCCTGTAGGGAGTACCTGACAGGCTTCCACAAGCGGAAGGTGGAGCGAAAGAAGGCAGCCATAGAGGAGATCAAGCAGCGGCTCAAGAAGGAGCAGAAGCAGCTTCGGGAGGAGGTGCAGAGGGGAGGGCGGGAGAGTCTCTCTCCCCAGGGGACCCGCAGCCTTGGCTGGCCTGAATGGGGCGTCTTCAGGGGTGAGGGGGGGTGTGAGCTGGTGTGAGCTGGCCTGGGGAGCAGTTTGTATAGGAAGAGACGCCGTGGGCCCAGGTCTGGGGAAGGTTTAGGATGGGATCTCCTGGTCTTTCACTCACTCACCCTGCAGGTGAGCAATGCCCCGCCTGAGGTGCGGCTGAACAGCCATCGTATTCACTGTGTCCCCTTCCCTTTTGGTTTCAGCGCCACCAAGAATACCTGAAAATGCTGGCTGAGAGAGAGGAGGCACTGGGTAAGCCCACCCTTGGCCTGACCTGGAGACTAGCCAACAGGCCTGGGTTTATTAATCCCTCCATGGGTGGGGTGTAAGGGTTGCTCAGAAGCTGAATTCCTTAATTCTGAGGGACTTGGTGATGACTCCGGGGATAGGAGTGGTCCTTGGGTCCCTCTCAATGTGAGTGGCTCAGAGACAAGGAGACCCAACCTCTTGGTAAACCCATTCTGTACAGACACCCCAGTGTCTGAGACCTGGAGGGACTGGGGATAGAGGGAAAGGACAGCAGCAGCTTCCTGGTGTCACACTGGGCCTGTCCTAGTTGGGAACCAGGTGGTCTGGGGGTTTCCTGGAACACAAAAGGAGGAGTTGGATAATTTTATAGCATTTGTTGGCAGGCCAAGCTCTGGAGCAGTGAACTCCTGGATACTCTCCCGTAGAGTAGAGGGGCCATTGCACTCCAGGGCTGGGAGGGGCTGGGGTCTGGTTACTTATGCTCCAGTGTTGAGGCCCAGTTCTGTGCTCACCCTGCACAGAGGAGGCGGACGAACTGGACCGGCTGGTGACGGCAAAGACAGAGTCCGTGCAGTATGACCATCCCAACCACACAGTCACCGTGACCACCATCAGTGACCTGGACCTCTCGGGGGCCCGGCTACTCGGATTGCCCCTGCCTGGTGTGAGTGTCACTCCCTGCCCGGGTCCATGTCATGGAGATTCCAGTGCAAAGGGTTCCTTCCCTTCTGGGCCTAGACACAGTCCTGGAGCCGGGGCTTCAGAGGCTAACTCCACCCTGAGCGGCTTTGGGAGCTTGGGCTTCTCTTTGCTTTGCCTCTTCCTCTCATCAGTAAATTGAGGTTCGCTAATGGCAGCACCTGCCTTGTGGGATTTCTGTGAGGTAAAAAGTGGTGAACCCACGAGAAGCACTCAAGGTAGCTTTTACTGTGATCACACGCATTGCATGGTAAGCAGCAATAATAACACGGCACATCTGTGAGCACTGACAGTGAGATATTAGGAGGTTTCTAACAGCACTAAAAGAGTGAGGGAGAGGGAGGGAGGGAGGGAGGGAGGGAGGGAGGGAGGGAGAGAGAGAGAGAGAGAGAGAGAGAGAGAGAGAGAGGAGATAAAGAGAAATAAAGGAAGAAGTAGCCCTGGCCGGTGTAGCTCAGTTGGTTGCAGTGTTGTTCCATACACCAGAAGGTTGCCGATTTGATTCCAGGCCAAGGCGCATACCTAGGTTGCAGGTTTGTTCTCAGTCGGGCAACCAGTTGATGTTTCTCGCATTGGTGTCTCTCTCTTGCCCATCCTCTTTAAAATCAATAAACACATCCTTGGGTGAGAATTTTAAAAAAAGCAAAAGCCCTAGCTGGTTTGGATCAATGGATAGAGCATCAGCCTGCAGACTGAAGGGTCCAAGGTTTGATTTTGTAGTGTTATTGGCGGATCATGCCCCCACTCAATAGAGACATGATTGCCTGTCCTTCCAGTCCATCGCTCTCTGTGACAATCTTTGTCCTGTGCTTCTAAAGCAAGGGGCCGGGCCTGGGCCTGAGGAGGTGTCATCGATGGAGAAGCCGACCAAAGCCTTACCCAGGAAGTCCAGAGAGCCTCTGCTGTCCCAGCGGTGAGCTAGCCTGTCCTCCCTATGAGCCTGTTTTGCATGGCTGCCCTGGTGACCTGGCCTGCAGAGCCACCTCCCGCTGGCTTTGTGGGGAGTGTGGTGGGCGGGGCAGATATGAGGCCTCAAGTGGTCCTTAGCTTCTCATTGTCCCCCATTCCCATCCCAAGAATAGCCGAACCTGGAAGCCCTTCGTACCTGGGGTAAAGACCTTTCTCTCTCTGAGCTAAGGAGCTGGCCCGCCCTTTGCGGTCAGAGCAGGCTGCCTTTGGAATGGACTTGGTGCTCCCGATATTGTGGGCTTGTCCTGACTTCCCCTTTATGAGCTGGGCTGTCAGTCAACCTGCCCTGTTCCCCTAGTAAACACCACCTTTCACTATGCCCTGTTCCCCATATAAACACCACCTTTCACTATGCCCTATTCCCCTAGCCTCACTAGCGTCCCGCTCTCTTGCAGGATCTCCTCCCTCACGGCATCACTGCACGCACACAATCGCAAAAAAGTGAAGAGGAAACATCCTCGACGAGCCCAGGACTCCACCAAGAAGCCCCCGAGTGCCACTCGGACCAGCAAGACCCAGCGCCGCCGGCTGACCGGCAAAGCCCGGCACAGCGGAGAGTGAGCCCGAGAGCCAGGCCAGGCCCCAGCCTGGGCTGCAAGGATCGGTCCCGCCTCTGCTTGGCTGCCCCGTAACCCAGCCTGTGCTGACACCGGGACTGTTACCCCAGAAGAAGCAGGCATGAGAACTGGCTCCCTCAGGAGGAACCTTCTGAGCCACATTTGGAGCACCTTCCTAAATGTATACACCACTGGGCCTTCCTCAGGTTTTTGAAACTAAGTGCACTGTGGTTTGTCCTTGGCCCCAATGCCATGCACCAAGGGTAGGCTTCTGGGTGGTGGGCATGGTCAGAGAGTTGGGTCCATCCCCACCCTCCAGCACTTTCCCCTGTGGGTGTGAAGAGGCAGCGTCAGGTCTAGGCCCCCTAAGCCAGGCTGCAGACCAGCATAACCGCTGGTGGAACCCAGAGTGCACTTGCTGCCCTGAGGAGCAGTGCCAGGCTTGCCCTTTAACAGCTGAGACTTGCAGTCTGTCCCTTCTTGGTCTTCGTCTCCTCAGCGGAAATTGAAATGGCAGAAACAGATTACTTGGAGCATCCCCCACCCCCAAACAGGCAGCTTCTCAGGTGCTAGGAAATGCATCTTGTCTGAAAGTGTGCCCCTTTCCGAGCACACCCCTCGGGAGTCTGGCTGGTGGTGTGTGGGCCTTCACACTCCTTCCAGGCCTTCAGATTTGGCTTCCGAGCTGCTGAAAACCACCCTTGTCCCTGCTTGTTAGTGACCCCCACATACTCGCTTGTCCCCTGACCAAGAAGGTGGAGCACAACCAGAGCATGTTCTGGAGCATCATTGACTCCCCGCTTGCCACTCACTGGTCCCTGTGATTCTGAGCAGGACACGGGTTTTTGGTTTACCCTGGTCAAAGCCCTAACACTAGGATGAAAGGGTGTAGATGTGCTCTCATCCCCAGTGAAGTTCATGGCTAGTGAGAGATGATCACGGTGACAGTGGAGTGCTGTGATGGGAGCACAGATGCAGAGTCTGGCCTTGAGATATAGGAGACGTCTGGAGGAGAGGGAGTTGAAGTCTGGGGGGCAGGCCTTCCCCCCACTCATCCCAGGGAAGGCACTCCAGGAGCAGCCCCACCACACCATGAGGCAGGCTCAGGAACTGGCTCTGTTAGGCTGCACCTGGGGGTGGGCAGGTGCTTTCCCATGTCGCCATCACCACCTATCTGGTGATATCTGATGCAGTTCTGAAGGCCACACCTGGGCATGGGAACGCACAGCTCAGGGCTTCTGGCCAGGAGGCCTCGTGACCTGCTGCTCAGCTCCTTCCACCAGCTCCTCTTGTCTTCTGGCTGTTCCCTCCTGTGCTTGGGCCAGGTGACTCAATCCCATTCGGTTGCCTCCGTCCAGGGCAGAGCCTGCTACCAGGCTCAAGTCATTTCTGGTGCTCAACCCGAGATAGCCCAATGTGACCCTAGCCCCAGGAAAGGCTAGGCCTGGGCATCTGCACAGCAGAGTGGATTTGAATCTGGGCCCTCCCACGTGACCACTGTCTGAGCTCCTCACTCTGCTAACCTCCCTGGGTCTGTTCCCACGTAGGAAGATGGGAGATACCGACCTCCTAGTGCTGCCCGTAAGGCTAAATGAGACCCTGCCTATGAACCGGTTCTCAGCACAGCGTTCTCCGGTGCGCCTGCAGCGTGTGCAGTTGCTGACTGCTGAGACGTCTGACATGGCCTCTTCCCATCCCCAGTGACATGGGGTCATGTGTAACTTATAGCTACAATTTGTAAAGTTTGTTAATATTCTTATCATTCATGTGTGCCACTAGTTCTTCCAGCAGACCAAGGACATTGAGGCACGTGGCTTTGCTAGCCCTAGTATCAGCAGTGGTGCAATCAGAACCCTCTGGAGAACTTGTCTTATTCCAGGAGCTCCTCTCTCCATGCTTATCTTTGGTTCTTTACCCCCATCTCGTGGGCCCTGTGGGTTGAATCCTCTAGCAGCTTTATCAGGTCATGAGTCCCTAAGCGGTCAATAAAAGCAAGACTGGCCGCTTTGAATCACTTCTGTGCAAGGTAACTACGGGCTGGAGCCAGCCCTGATGATCCTTTTAGAGACTCGTGCCTTCCTGTCCCTGCTCCATTGGGCCACACTCCTGCATCTCTGGCTTGCCTGCCAAGAGCATGTGATTCTCCACCAGGCCTGTGGGCAAGGAGAGCTGGGATGACCATTTCCACTTGTCGGAGAGGAGGCTGAGGCTCGGGTATAGCGGGAACAGAAATTATCTGCTTCCCCAGATCTCTGAAGAGGGGTGTCCAGCCACATGAAATGGCATGAGCAAAGGTGGAGATAAACAGAATTCAGAGTAGAAAGGGGGATGTGAGGCTGGGACTAAATGGTGACGCTTCCTTGGCTGCCACCACTACACCCTTAGCCTGGGCCATCCCACAGAGGGGGCAGCCAGGCAGCTCCAGAACTGGGAAGAATGCTCAGGACGGCCCACCAACCTGCCCCCCGACTCTCCTCTCCACTCCAACCTCTGCATCTGTCCTCTCAGCTGAAAACTTACCCAGATCCTGCATGCTCACTGCCCCATCTTCTCCAGGTCTTTGTTCAAATGTCACCTTCCTCAGTGCGGCCTTCCCTGACAGTGCCAGCCACTCCCACCCTCTCCCTGCTTCTTTCTCCTTTGTGCTCATCACCAGCCAACACACTCCATAACTGCTTATTTATCTAGTTTGTGGTCTGTCTCCACTGAAGTATAAGCATTACAAAAGCAGATTTGATCTTTTGTTCACTGATCTGTCCTCAGTACACACAACTGACAAAAGTAGGGGCTTCATAAGTATTTAATGAATTTGTCAGGAGGGCCACTGATGGGTGGGAGCTAGAGGGCTGGCATCATATCCTGAGCTTCAAACTCAAACTGAGTGCCCACCTTGCTCCCACCGTAGCCTCAGAGAGGTCAAGGAACTTTCTCAAGATCACACAGCCAGGGAGTGCTAGAGCCAGATATTGAGCACAAGTCTCACTATTTCTGGTTTTGCTTACCGTAATTGGGACCAAGCAGAAAGCATATTATTCTTGTTATGAAGCTGTATCTTCACCTGTTCCTTGCGGGGCCAGAGTGACCAGTTCAGAGTCTGTCTCTCCATCTCCCCAGTATCCAGCTCAGCATGCCATGCCGGTACATGTGAATGTCTGGATTGTGAGGACGCTCTGTGGACAAAGGTCGAGGCAGACATCCAGGGTTTTAGTCGTGCCTCTGCCTCTTGCTAGCCGTGTGACACTGGGAAGTTAGGTATTTCTCTGATCCTCAGTTGCTATGAAAGGAAGATCTTTGTACTTAATCCATCACATTGTTATGTCTTCATAATTGTGGAGATTTGGAGCAGGAGCTGCCACAGAATGCAGAATAAATGTTAGCCTTTTACTAGTAAAAAATGTTTTTATTAATTTTAGAGATAGATGAAAGGAGAGAGAGAGAGAGAGAGACAGACAGACACCTTAGACCAACTGGGCCACACTGGCTAGAGCAAAATGTTGGACTTTTTATTTTGTTAAATGTATTGTATTGATTTCAGAGAGGAAGAGAAAGGGAGATAGAAACATCAATGATGAGAGAGGACCACTGATTGGCTGTAGGGGCAATCCAGCCCACAACTCGAGCATTTGCCCAGGACCCTTCAGTCCACAGGCTGATGCCTTAACTGCTGAGCCAAACCAGATAGGGCGGAGACGTTAGACTTTTTAAAAGGGGAGAGCTGTGATTGGAGTGAACGTCGCATTAGTGGAAATGTGCAAATAGAGGTTGAAAACCCTTGGTTATTTAATTTTATCCTTACAGATAATATTACTACCCATCGTTTATAAATTAGAAAGCTGAGGCACAGAAAAGTTAAGACTCTAGCCCCAGGTCTAGGCAGAAACCAGGCTGGCGGACTGTGACGGGAATGAACCAAAGGGAAAGAGCAGAAGGAGCCATGGAGGATCCAGACCTGGTTGCTCAGGCTTAACGTGCAGTGAGTCCCGCGCTCAGAGGCATCTGGGCACCGCCCGCCTCCGCCCCGCCCCTTGCCCTCGGATTGTCCAATCGCACAGCCTTCATGTAAATAAAGAACCTAGAGAGAGCCTGTGAGAGAGCAGCAGAGGCGTGGTCTTCCCCCTCCTCCCGGGCAATGTTCTGATTCATTGTTAAAATAAAGAGGCTGTGACCTCCCTACCCAACCCCGGCACCCCCTTGTGCGTGGAAACTCGAGCCGAGGTTAGTTCTGAGCATTGGGAAGGGTGTGGGGGAGGAGGATAAGCGGGAAAAGGTAGAGGAGTGAGGGATATGGGGAGGGACTGGCTGACTGGCTGAATGGAGAAAGGGGTCCATTCTCCCGGTGGGGCCTCCGTGTCCTCTGCAAGTTTTTCCTTGTTATATCCGTATCTAAATTGCACTTCAGAGAAGAATTCTGCCAATTGGTTGCGGGTGGGGAGGAGGAAGCGGGAGCAGTGAGAGAGGACGTGGAGTAGAGTGCTCTACACCTGCCCCCAGGGAAATGAGCAGCGGTCTCCATCCCAGAAGATACTCCTTTATGTGGTCAAACTGGGAAAGAATTGCGCAGGATGGGTGGGACCAATTCACTCCTGGTCGGTCTACCACTGGGAGCTGGGAGCAGTGATGCTGGGAGAAGAGCCCAGCGAGGATCAGAGACCCCACCGAGGGGTCAGTGGGTGCCCCCTCCTCCCCACAGATCGTGGCCTGCCGCCTCCCAGGTCTGATGATGGAGGAGCCAAGAACCTTCGCCCTGGCTGCCCCGGCGGAGGACATGACATTCCCCAGCTCTGGGGTGAGAGTGGCAAGGAAGGCCTGATCCTCCCGGATGCTGTGGAGGAAATTCTCCAGGTGAGGAGAGGTACCCTAAGGGGCAGGTGTGTTTGGGAATATGGATTCCTCTCGCCTCCCCCCCCCCCCCCCCCCGGGGCTCTGTGTGGGTTAGGAGGGCATCTTCAAGTCACTCTTCCGTTGGGGCTCCCCACCCCTCCCCGCAGGGCATGCCAGTGGAGT